CTGCCTCAGCTCTATGCTGAACCACACCCTTCTTATTTCCTTGTAGGAGAACAGTGAAGTTAAGAGAAGTTCCTTCAAGTGGTGTCCATCTCACTCTACCCCCCCGCAGGCAACAAGATTCAAGGAGAGCTCCTCCAATCCCACCCCTCCCAGTGCACCAAACACACCAGTCTTTCTCTAAAAGCATTTTCCACTAAGGAATCCACCATGCCATATTCGCATCAGCAAGTGACAAGCCCAGCTACCCGTACAATTGGGAGACGCTTAAGATTTCATGCTGCCCTAAGAGAGACAGGCTGGAAAGAGCTAGCGGCAAAACTTGAGAGCACAGGGACAGAGAGAGGTGAGGAGAGTTAGAGGGACGTTTTCTAGCCTCCTACCTTGTGTGAAGAAGTAGACTCTGGTGCCATCACCTCTCACATAGAAGTTGTCAGACAGACATTGACCTAAGGGCAAGAGGGATTTAAACAGTTACCAGCTATCATTTAGAAATCAACAACTGCCATCCTACTGCACGGAAAGACAAGAGGCACTTCACCCAGAGCATGCTGTGCTTAAGGAGAATGAATGAGCTGCCTCCTAAACAGGGTAGACAGTACTCCAGAGAAGCATCATCTATCAGTGATCTGGCAAGACTCCCCAAGGGGAAAAGAAATACCTTTCTTAAACCGAAGCTGGGCCAGATCGTAACGGCCATAATCTCGTAACAAAATCATTCCTCCTGGTTTCAGAAGGCGACTCAGCCTGTTAACGATGCATTGCATCCTGAGGAAAGAACAAAACAAAAGTATTCATCATTCTGCAAAATGATGCTTGTTTCCTTAGCCTACTTTCCAAAAAGAAGGTATGAAGTTTTATATATGTTTCAACTTCATACAAAGAGCTACCAAAAGCTAGCACTTTTCTGAGTTCTCTCAGACTTAGGTGGGTTGATTTTATTTGGCCACCTTATTTCTGACACTCCTTGATTCTGGGTTTCCCCCCCCCCGCCACAATGATAACTTAGCCTGCCACAGCAGAATTAACTGCTCTCTTACTAATTACAAAAGTATCTCCACTGGTTTCTGTTAAACAAGCGATAAGTGAACTTGAAAAATGCTGTGAAATAAAACCAACGGGAACAAGAAAGAGACTAGCGTAGGTTGTAACACACTGTCACACTAAGACCACAGCACTCTTCTTAAATGTTTTCTGAAACTGTCCCCTCCCTTCTTGCCACCTCCCATATGAGAAATTCATCTAGCCTTTGAGCCCCAAAATCTAGCAGCATACTTTCCACAAATGGGTGCTGGGTGCTCAGTGTGGCTGGGGTTCAGAACAGATCAGCAACCATGAGCGCAGCAAGACATCACCTATAGCCACTTGGCACTTCCAAATCACACCTTTCCTGTACCAGAATTTGTGACAACAGAAAGTACCTGCAAATTTCATTTTCAGAGATTTAATGGAAAACTGGACCAGACACATAACAAACTTTAATCTTCCTCGATATGAGGGGACCTACTATTAAAGAACTCCAGTTCTATATGCATTATCTTCTCCAACCAGAAGGAATTATTAAAACTTACTTCTCTGGGAGAATCGCTGAGAGGACAAAGATAAGAATAACAACGTCAAGACTCTCGTCTGGCATTGGGAAAGGACTTTGGTCGTTGCACAGGTCATGGACAAACGCAAAGCAGCGAGAAGAATCATATTCTGCATTGTTCTGTATTTACGGGGAGAGACATTAGAGCATTAGCAGCAGACCCTGATCTTAATATTATCTGGACACAGGAGCATTTTAACTTTCACATAATAAAGCGGTATGTCCAGAGATCTGTTTCAGCCTCTCTGGACTAAGGCAGATGGGGTCGGATAGGTTCCCTGGTCAGACAAGGAACAGGGGTGAAACGTGAAAAGTACATATTTACAAAGAGCTTTGGACTTGTTGCATTCAGACAGCCAGCGCTGCCAAAACCCCAGAACTGGATTGAGGGATTATCGCAATTTTAAGGTCATATTTTCTACTAATGGTGGTAAGAAATGAGGGATTTACACTGTTAAGCTGGAAATCTTTACGAAAATGAGAGTGTCAGGGTCTCTCTCTGCATCACTGAAATCAATATTCATTTCAACTACAAGCCAACTACTCCCTATACCCCAAATGTCAAATCTGGCTGCCTAAAGTTACACTCTTAAAACCCACATTCAGACTCTTAAAATAAGTTGTATATTTTTCTAAAGCTGCTGCTACAGATTGCAGTAGCCTCTATAAACAGTGCTTGTGTCAGCTTACGAGGATGAAATGGCATGCTGCCTCTGCTGCTGTGCTCCCCATCTCATGTCATGAAGTGACTGATTACATTTGATACTTCCTATATTTTCAGTTCTGTTCTGACGTGGAATTTGTTAGTAGTATTTGTCCTTTGACTAAGGTACAGCCTCCTGCTCCAAAGACAGCAGTATCCCTCCTCAGATGTCTGTGCAGAAGCAATCAGACCACATTCCCAGAACTGCAGTGACAGTAATGCACACACAAACCAAAACCAGCTTCAGTTCCTGTTAAAAAAAAAAGCGCCTGAATATTTTCAAGGTTCACCAGTTACTCAGCTAAAAGAGCACTGGATTTAGAAAAGTACTGCTAACCACAGGGGAAAGAAAATCTGGCTGACTTGTCTGCTGCCAATGTGACATTTTGAGAACTCCAACTTCCCTCATTTCTACAGTCTTTGATGGTTCATTTTCCTGATTTACCAGTACAAGGGTCAGCATCAGGGCTAGCTACAAACAGAAAGCTGCCAACACAGCTAGATAGCCGGCGGCAGCTGTGATATATTTGCGTCAGTGTGCAATTGGCACCACGTACTTCCTACCTTCATAAGTTACCAATGAGTTTACCTGGACAAGATCCACAGCTGCTGTAGAAAAATCACAGCAATAAACAAAAAGGCCTGGGTCACTGAAATAAAATAAAAGAAACTATCACCATTTATATAAAGGCGCTCCATGGAAATTACAGAAGTGTCTTGAATGCAGAGAATTGGGAATCGGAAATCCTGGGCTTTAGTCTATCTCTATCAATACTGTGCTGCACAAAATCTGGTGGATCACATTGCTCTTTTATGCCTCAGTTATTCTCATATGGAACTGACTGCTTACTTTTCCTTCTGGAAAAGGAGAGACACTGAGGCCTGTACGAAAATGCTTTCAGAATGACATGTAAACTCGCATTACGTTTCATTGATTCCCAATTCAAGATTCCCAAGCTCAAAACACAATCATTTGAAGTCACACAAGGCAAAGGTACCATTTGCATCTGGTCTTTCTCTGAGATTATGTAAACTAAGAACACATGCAACACTTCTCCCATTGTTTTTCACTGGTAAATCATGCAGGTAAAAACCTACTGAGAACTACTTACTTGTTGGTTTGTAAAATCGGGAAGACTGTATTTCCAGCACCACAGCCAACCTGCACAAAGAAAGTAGATGTTTACATAGTGGAAACAATTTCTTCAGCATGTCCTGCGCAGCTAATTCCAAACCATCTCTCTACAGCCATGGAACAACAAGCAACTCATAAGTAACAACAGAGCATAGCAGCGGTGATTTGCAAACCTCACTGCAAGATCTGAGTATGTTCAGCTCTGAAGAGCAGGCTCCCATATAAGCATTTGTGGGAAACCACTAAGTCAGTTCTGGTAGAAAACTTACTAACAAGCTATATATTGTTACTCTTTTGGAAACTGTTATTGCTGGAATCCCAAGCAGAACAAGCAGTATGAGTCACTGAAGCATTGGCAAAGGCCACGGATTAGTTGCATTCACTTCCATAGAAAATCAGAGCAACGGAGAAAGAAGTTTGCTTTACTATAATTATATCCTGCTGTTTCAGAGTTTCCTTCACTAGATGGCTCTTCCTCAAGTTACAACTAGGCCTACAGTGATTCTGCCTTATTATTCCTTCTACTTGTTCCCGTTTGAAGAGAAGATGGCTCACACAAGCGGGTTTGCAGAATTTGTCCAATGAATGTTTAAGGAATCAGTAAAATTGAAATAGATTGAGCAGAAAGCACCACTGATGCCTTGCAGTGGCAGGTATTACTGAAAGTACTCAGGTGAGACAGGAAAGTCACAATGACCCAAGAACATCAAAGTCTGAGGAAGTTTCAAAGCCCGAGATTAAATAAAAAAAAAATCAAAAATCAAAAGGACAATTCATATTGACTCTCCCTGGAAGGGCAAAACCTCTGTAGAACATGAAGCATTCATCAAAACCAGCAGTACCTACAGTGAACAAACTAGAGGCGGCAGAGCAAAAGGTCATTACCAGCAGTCAGGAATCTAATATTTAGACTTCCTACAGAGTTTTCTGGGACAAACCCTGTATCAGTCTGAGATTCCACGTTATTACTTGGGCCATAAAGAACAAACCAAACAGCATCTTTACATTCTGGGTTCCATTGTTTTGTTTCACACCTCCCAAGGCACACAAGAGCCAGCACAAACATGCAAAACACAAACGACAAGGGAAAGCTTTATACAGACGAGTGAAAGAATCAGCTTCTTCAGAAGAAGACTTTAAAATGCTTGTTTCAACATCTGATAGTCATAGTTTGTCTTTTAAACTCAAAAACTTCTTATGATCCTTGTGCTCTGCCAATTCACAGTCTGAACCAAAAGAATTCCAACAGATTTATTTCAGGTCTAAGCTGCCCACTGTTTTTTGCATTTTAGTGAATTAAGGCCATCATCCCATCCACTTGCTCTTTGCCAATGATAGGTATTTTTATGTGCCAGTCACACTAACACCGATACAAGGGACTGCTCGATGAGTGCCTCTGTTTTAGAGCTGTTACCTCCAATATACGGTAAGATGCAGACGATCCTGGGTAATCTCCATCCCTTTGATTCAGCTCACTATACTTCTGTGTAGCCAACTCCTCTGTGCAGATCTTAGGCGTGCTTTTTATCACATTTATCTGATTCTCTGCCCTGGTTTCCAGGGAACAATGTCCATTTTCACAGCTACCCCGCTCTTCTTTTATTCTTCTTTGTCACTAAATTCATGCACAGAATCCCCATTTTGACTTGGGTTCCTGTTAGGCGCCAGCTCAGGAAATTCAGTAAACAGCCAGTGTCTGTCCTTGAAGAAGCCATTTTCATGGATTTTATAAAAGTCATCCCAGTACCTCTTAGCATTCACCTCATATTCCTCTGTGAACACAAACAAAAATGTCACCAGCAGTCAAATCAGAAGGTCTCAGAGTTTAATCAGTTCAGAGAGTGAGGGATCACTGCAGACATCTATTTCGCAATCTGCTTTAATAAGTAAGAGTATTGATTGTAAATCACCTTTATTTAAATTGTGCCATCCCACATAAACACTCAGCCTGCCTCCTCACAGTCACTTTGTTAGGACTAAAAAGATAAAAGAGATAGAGGAGGAAACTGTTTGTCTCCTGGTAGGATTTAAAGGAAGCTGACAACAGAAAAGGCCTCTTTGACAGAGACTTGAATGAAGAAATCCAGGTTTTACTTCCATCTCTAACACTAACTTGTTCAGTTCACTGGAACAATTCATTTGGAGCCTCATGACAGTGTCAAGCACTTAGAAGTTCTAAGGAATTCTGTGACAGTTGCCTGGAGCTGAAGAGTCCTGTCCAACACTCTACCCCTTTTTTCAGATGCAGAAACAGAAAAATTAGTCAACTATACAGGCCTGGCAGAAAGCTCAATTAGCATTTGCACAATACTCTAAGATTACCGGACAGCACATTTTACACAAGTATTGTTAGAGTCCAGTCTACAGCACTTTGTTTTCCATAGTTCTGTGCATGTTAGACCATCATGCATTTATGAAATTAAAATAAAAAAGAGGAATCAACAGAAGCGACTACTGTCATTAAAGTAATAGTGAAGAGCTAAGGTGGATAGACTAAAGGTGGTAAGAGTTAATTTTAGCAGCAAGCATTATCATTTTCACACCAAGTGGATACGTTCTAACAGCAAGATGATTATTACAGAAAGCCAGAAGAACTCTTACAAAGCCATGATCTAATTCAAGTCACCCACAGAATTATGTCCACACCCCTTCACAGATTTCAGATCAAGTACAGTTCTAAGGGAACTATTTTTAACATGAGAAGCTACAAATCCAACTGGCTTTCTGAATTCTCCTCAATGTGATGAGTTCTCTGTCCTGGGAAACACGAGCTAATTATAGCATCCTATGCTTGTAATCACCTAGGGACAGTAACATCCACGGCTGGAGATCCCAACTGCATTTCAATAACATGCAACTCCTCAGCCATCTTTGCACAGCAACAAGTGCATTACTGAATGCAAATGATTCTCCCACAATTAATGATGACGATTGTATGTGAGAATGGATAATCCTTCTCCAACATCTACTAAAAGCAGGGTTAAGAGAAAAAGCAGGCATCTTAAAATTGGAGACTAGTGTTATTATCTGAACTGCAGTTTATTTATTAGCCTTTCTGAAAAGCATACCAGTGTTTAGAAGATACCTGAAGGGACATAGTAAAATGAACAAAGACGACCTGGGAAAAAATATAGCCTCAGCCAAATATAGACAAAAATGGCTTTAACAAAGAACCAGAAGTCAGTCATATACATATTTTTAGTAGGATTTATCCCTGAAGCACAAAGAGCTATATATAAAAATAATTCCTTTACCTCAATTGCAAGGATTTTCTGCTTTTAAGAAGCCTTTTCCTTAAAACCCAAGCTGAAAGAAATTTTAATGTCTGATATTAGACTTCGACAGTCAGTTTGTGCCACGATCTCACCATAGCTTAAATTAAGCCGGGTCAAGTCAGTTTACTGTTTAAATAGGAGAACTCAATGACTGCTGATGTCAGAGGAAGAATTGTTATCGATTTGTACCCTGACACACTCCTTCCTGAAACTGTCACTCCTTCCATGTACTAGTAGGGATATGCAAGGCTGCTGGGGCTGGAAATGATCTTTCACCTAACAAAAATATTAAGTCCCGATTCCTGCTGGACCCTAACAATGCCATGACAGCCTGACTGTAATGGGACGTTTACCTGAGGTGCTGGGGCAAAATTCCAGCTCAGCCATTTCAGATTACTCACACTTTTGCCATAGTATAACGCCAAACAAGACATTGTGCTCTTCCTGTGTTAAGTTATTATGAAATTCTGTTGGATGCTATTGAACAGCTGTTATACTCTCACTCACATGTGTGGAAGCTTTATTTAAAGCTCATTTACCTCGTAGCCTAGTGTTTTCAAAGCACTGGAATAAAGGATCAGTAACAATATAAATGCACGAAATCAAGGGCCAGCTGACAAAGATCATGCAAGAAACAGATTTAAAGCAAAAAAAATGACCATATTAATTTCTTCAGTCTGACTTCCTGCACAACTTGCGCCAGAAACATTCACATAATACTTGCTTCAAGATCCTTTTTGTGGTATTAACTCATAGGGACATCGGCATGTGAGCCACATTCCTCCGGAGACTTTTTTTGATAAGGACTCCTGACTTTTCTGCTCATCTTTGTTAGGACACCCCCAAAGCCAAGCCATACTCACCCTTTCACATTGCTGAAGAAGAGCAAACAAAAGTAACTGTTCAGAAAAGACAGGAAGAGAACCAGGGACCCCCTGAATTGCATGGGGGCTATTATTTCCTCAAAAGGAAACTGAGAAACTCTTCCACTTCTTTCTTTGTTCCCAGCCAGGAGACACATCTTCGACATACCCCACGGAACTTCTCTCCTCCTTTCAGAACAAATTCTGACAGCCCCAAGAAGTCCACAGAATAATACAGCCATAACGACCAATAGCCTGCCTTTGTTCTCCTGCTTGGACATTACTGATTCTCAAAATACTAGACCCTTCAGGCACATTTGGCTGGGCTGGCTTCCCTACGTTTCAGCCATCCTATTGTCTCCACACGCTTCCCACTGAATAGCAACCATCAAAATTTGACTGGCCTCCATTGTTCAGTCTGGGAAATACATCATGAAGACCTGACAAACTGCTCTAACAGCAAATTGCTCCACAATTTCATAGTTGTATATAGGTTCTCTAAGCATGACAGACAGCATCCTTTAATGTTAACCAGATTTTAAAATGAACTCAACACAATGGGCATCACAATAGAAACTGCTGGATACTTCTGGGAATCCAAGAAATTAGGAGGGTTACTCTTTGGTGTAATTAAATTTGCTATTGTGAACACAACTGGAAGCTATATGGGAAGTGTCTCAATAGCTCCAGTAGTGTTCAGCATCGCCTTACAGATGACACACTCAATTTAATTTGAACAAAAGGAGCAGATCCATCCTAGAGCTCGGCAGGGTATAACAAGATGATCATCAAACAAGTCCCTTATCATACCAAAGAACAGGAAGCCATTTCACTATCATTCGAGGGACTGAATGATACCTAACAGGTGTGGAGGAAAGATGCATTATTAACCAACCGAGAACAGCTTCAACCGTGTTACTTGACTATAGAGTTGTGCACCTTTAGCTTGATTCAGATTCAGGTAAGCTTTGCATTTTGGATGTATAAATATTGTTTAAGCCAAGTTTGAGTAAATAAAAACTTTGGAATCCCTTTTCTGCCTCTCTGATGATAAACACTTAAATCGGGATAAAATAATTTTTCTTCGCTTCCGATTTAATCATTATCATGCTGTTTGTTAACCTGGTAGAGATGAATATGGACACTACTTTATTAAACCCTCTTAAGAGAAAAAACACGTTTGCATTAGGGATAGCTCTGCATCATGCAAGCAAACAAACAATTGCCTGTTAGAAGTCAAGCTTTAGAGAGCAAAAGCAAGCAGAGAAAATAAGACTTAACAGGGCTGTTGCTCTACACTGAAAGAAGTCTGTTGACAAGGAACACTAACAAGCATTTAAACATACACAACATGAACAAAGAAGCTCAACCCAAGATGACTCCTCCCAGCCAAGATCATTTCTTTTCTCTTTATTTGGAAGATCGGGGGACGGGAGAAATAAACGATGATGCATATGCAGCTCTGGCCAGACTGTTCCACTCTTGTATGAACAAGTTAAGACTCAGCATTACAATAGTATCCAAAAGTACCTTGTTTATCTTGTGGCAATAGCTGTGAGCTGTTCTCTTGAACTTTACTCCTGGCACTGGCTTCCTGCTCTTCTGACCATTCCACATTATCCCTGTTGTAAAAAATAAGATGAACTACTCAGCTGAGAATGGTAAGGTAAAGACAGAGAGAAAAGAGAAAGGTCTAGACACCTCTCCAAACTCACAGCTGCGGAGCTTTTCCGTGATCTCTAATTCTAGCCTTGCAGCACTACAACAGCTATCAGCACATACGGTTCCCAGTTCTGAATGAACTGCACTCGCAGCATTACAAAAGATGTAACTGGAAGGGATCCCAAGAGACACCAAATCTGCCCCCTAATCCTTTTCCCTATTTGATGCTCAGCCAAGTTTAGAGGAAATAAATCCCTTACTTATAAAACCACAAGGGCACTCAGCACAAATAGGCCTCCTTGGAGAGGAACTGCCATTCTCACACGGTGAGAAGCACTTGTGACTACCAGGTAGGTGCTTGTGTGCAGGTCATCAACATGGGCCGCTTGATTTAGCTGTCTTAGAAAACTACATTTTCTTAATCAAGTTAAAACAACAACAAAACCAAAGGCAGTAGGGTTATTTGGAAGGTAAAGTGTTATATTATTATTAAATACAATTATAAGCAAAATATGCAGGAAGCTTTACAGCATTAAGAACCTATTAATAACTTAAATGTGCACACACAGTTCTATAGTCATTAAAGTGATTCACTTTTTCATTAAAACAAATGAATGAACAGCGGACTACAAGGATCAAAAAGTACTATTCTGGCCTCAGGAGGAATTAGTCTTTTGATATTAACTCACAAAACAAAGAATTATATGTCAAGTCTGTGAAAGAAAGTAGATTACTAGGAGTTTCTGCAGAGAAATACTATTGAGGACATGCTTTTGTAACACACCTCTAGTCCCCAAATGAATGACAAGCTGATACATGTACATATTACTTCATTACAAATTAAACATACCCAATTGTCAATAGGGCTTAGCAGCCGGAGACCAAAAGCGGACAAATTTACTTCAACAATGCAAAACACCTTCAGTTCCCAGCAAATTCGAGAATTTGGGTGCCTAACATCTCTTCAAACAACAGCTTTCTCCAACTGAAGATCTCCTGTTCCAAGCTAACACCTAGCACAATCTCACACTGTCACAGCATCATGTGGCAGCAGATGGGTGAAATGATCTTTGTTCAATTTATACATTAGTCACTAATGTATACAGATGGAGAAGGGTTATAGATTTCTGAAAGCAAATAATTTAACTTTATTAACTATAGCAATGAAACAATTGCTACAGAGCAAAACACTTTCTCCTGAAAGACCAAGGGGGCCTGAGTAATGCCACCTTCTTTGGCAGGAGCCAAGGGAGGCTCAGGACCCCCTGGAGATTAGCACCCCAGAGCACCCAAGGCTGTCCCACACCTCCAAGCCCTCACAGCACCGCCTGCCATGCTGGCAGTGCCCCAGCCCGGGGGGTGTCAGACCCCTGCCCCAGGCCCCTCTCGCTGCCTGGCCACCAGCCCCACACCCGCAGCTCCCCCAGCCCGCTCCACGCCCCAGCGGGCGGTTCAGAGGCGAACCCAGGCGTCGGGCCAGCACGCTGGAAGAGCAGCGCGAACAATATCTACCGCCGGCCCACCGTGAAGCAGAGTCGGGCGGCTCGGGG